CAACAATGAAAGGATAAGAGAAGTACAAAAAATCATGGAATCCTAACACCTTTAAAAGAAACTAATAAAGCTCCAATAACCCTAAAGATATGGACAGCTATGAAATGAATGCCAATTCACAGTAACACTCATAAAGAAGTTCAGTGAACTACAAGAATATATAGAGAGAAACTAAATGAAATTTGGTAACAATTACATGGGAAAAGCAAGATTGAGAAATAAATGAAAACAAAAGAAAAATGATAGAAACTCTAGAGATAGAGAATAGAAGGACTCAGCTGAAAAATTTAATAGAAATCCTTAATAGCAGAATTGATCAAGTAGAAGAAAGAATCAGTGAGATGGAAGACAGAGCTTTTGAAATTATCCATTCAAATGAGCAAAAAGACAAAAGAATAAAGAAAGTATATGAACATATGGAACCAACTTCGCACAACAGGAGTTTCAGAAAGAGAATACAGAGAAAAGGGGCCACATAAATACATATGTAAAGAAAATGGCTGAAAACTTCCCTAATCTAGAGAAGATACCAATACCCAGATGCAAGAAGCACAGGCAGCTCGTTCAAATTCAACCCAAAGAGGAATTCATCAAGACATATAATAATTAAGCTATCAAATGTCAAAGATGAAGAAAAATTCTAGAATATCAAGAGATAAAAAACAGATTAAATACAAATAAGTTCTAATATGACTATCAGCAGATTTCTCAGCAGAAACAAGCCAGGAGAAAATTGATATAGTCAAAGTGCTGAAGAAAAAAAAACTGGCGACCAATGCTTTCTATTGTAAAGCTTTTCTCCAGAAATGAAGGTGAGAGAAAGATTTCCCCAGACAAACAAAAGCTGAGGGTATGTATCACCACTAGATATGCCTTACAAGAAACACATAGGGAGTTCTTCAAGCTGAAATAAAAGCTGGACCCTAATAGTAACACAAAAACATATGAGAGTATAAAACTCACTGGTAAAATAAGTTCACAGTCAAGTTCAGAATAGTCTAATACTATAATGATAGATTGTAAATCACTTATACATTTAGTATAAAAGTTAAAAATCACAATTATTAAAAATATAATAATTTAAGGAACATGCAATATAAAAGAGGTAAATTATGACATCAAAAATTCAGAATGTAAGGGATGCAGTTAAAACATACAGTCTTCGTTTTATTTGGATTAAAGTTAAGTTGTTTTCATCTTGAAATAACTTATATCTCTAAGATTTTTTTTGTTTAACCTCATGGTAACCGCAATGTAAATACATAAATAATAAAAAGCATGAGATCAAAACATCCTCTTAGAGAAAAATCATTCAATCACAATGTTAGACTATAAGAGAGGAAGGAAGGAAGAAACTACAAAACCATTTGATGAAAATTGACAAAATGGCAGTGCCTTGCCATTCAAGACCTTACCTTGAATGTAAATGCATTACATTCTCCAGTTAAAGACACAGAGTGGCTGAATGGATTAAAAAAAAGATGCAACTATATGCTACCTACAAGAGACTCACTTCATGGGTAAGGACACACACCACTGAAAGTAAGGGCATGGAGAAAGATATCCCATGCAAACGGAAACTGAAAGAGAGCATGAGTAGCTATACTTCGATAAAATGGACTTGGAATTAATAACCACAAAAAACGACACACAGATCATTACATAATAAAGGGGCCAATTCAGCAAGAGGATATATAATCATATATATATAAGCACATGAAATTAGAGCACCAAAATATATAAAGTGAATATTAAGGGGAGAAAGTAAAAAGTTAATAGTAAAGGATTTTGAAATCCTACTTATTTCAAAGGACTGATTATGCAAACAGAAAATCAATAAAGAAACATGGAATTTAAACTGCAATTCTAGACCAAATGAACATAACAGACATTTACAGAACATTCCCTCCAATAGCTGCAAAATATACATTTTTCTTATCAGCTCATAATACATTCTCCAGGTTAGGTAAGATATTAGGCCACAAAACAAGTCTTAACAAATTTACAACTGAAATCATGTCAAGTAATCTTTTCTGACCATGACGGCATAAAACTAGGAAACGTTACAAATGTATGCAAATTAATCAACATGCTTCTGAACAACCAATGAGTCAATGAAGAAGAGACACCTGCACTCCTATGCTTATTGCAGCACTATTCAAGATAGCCAAGATATGGGGTAAACCTAAGTGCTTATCAATGGATGGAAGGATAGAGAAAATGTGGCATACATACATAATGTAATAGTACTCAGCCATAAAAAAGAAATCTGTCATTTGTGGCAAAACATGGAAACCTGGAGGACATTACATTAAGTGAAATATGTCATACACAGAAGGATAAATACCACATGATCTCTCTCATGTGGCATCTAAAAAAGTTGATCTTACAGAAGTAGAGAGTAGAATAGTGGTTACCAGAGACTGTGGAAAGTAGGGAGAAGTGGGGGATAGGGAAAAATTTATCAGCTGCTACAAAGTTACAGTTAGATAGGAGGAATAAGTTCTGGTATTATCTTGCACAGTAGCATAACTATGGTTAACATAGTTTGTACACAGTTGTCCCTGAATATTTTCAGGGGATTGGAACCAGGACTCTCATTGGATACCAAAATCCATGAATGCTCATGTCCCTTGTATAAAATGGCATACTATTTGCATATAACCTACACACATCCTCATATCTATACATTAAATCATCACTAGATTACTTATAATACATAGTAAAATGTAAATGCTATGGATAGTTGTAGTTTATTTGTATTATTTTTAAGTGTTGTATTGTTAATTTTTCATTGATTTTCTTTTTTCAAATATTTTTACCCACGATTAGTTAACGTCATGGGTGAAACCTGTAGATATGGAGGATATACTGCATTTCTAAACAGCTAGATGAGAGGATTTTCAATGTTCTCACCACAAAGAAATGATAAATGTATGAGATGATAAATATGCTAAATATCCTCATTTTCTTTTTTATGCCATATATATTTATGTATTGAAACATCACACTTATGCCATAAATATGTACAATTATTATGGGTCAATTAAAAACAAAAATAAACAGATATAAGTGCTTTTAAGCACTCCAATTTAAAATCATTGTCAGCCTAGATTTTTTAAAAATACAAGAACCAACGGCATACTCTGTTCATCAGATACACTTTAAATATAAGGAAATATGCAATGGAAGTAAAAGAATGAAAAAAAGGATCTCATGCAAAGACTAACTTTAAAAAGCTGCCAATAGAAAAAAAAATCTGCGTGGCAATACTAATATCACAAAATCAGAATTCAAAAGTAAGAATACTAGAGACAATAATGAGAATTGTATAATGATAAATTCTTTAGGAAAACATAACAGTCCTAAAGATGCATGCACTAAAATATAACTCCAAAATACATGAAACACAATTAACATGTCTAAAACAAGTAACATAATAACAATAATAAAAAACAATAGTTCACAATTTCAACAGATCTCTCTCAAGAACTGAGAGAAGAAGCGGAAAAACACAAGTGTCAAATGACTTAACTGGCATTTCCATACTCACCAACTGCAAAATGCACATGCACATATTTAGTGCACATAGAAAAGTTAACATCAAAAACATAGGCTAAACCACCTCAAGAAAACAATTTCGAAAACTTAGGATTATATAAATATGTTCTCTTGTCACAACTGATAAAATAATAAGGAAAAAATGAGCTAAAAAAATCAGTATTTGGATTTAAACAGGCTTCTACATAACCTATAACTCAAAATAGAAGTCAAAATAAAAATTTGAAAATATTTTAATCTGAACTATAATGAAGACACGACATAAGATATGTGGAATGCAGCTAAAAATGTACATCTGACAAACTTATACCTTTAAATGCATTAGAAAAGAGGTTTAAAATCAATTATCTAAACTTTCACCTGAAGATGCTAGAACAAAACCAAATTAATAAAATTTGTAATCAATGAAATAGAAAACAGAGATGTAATGGAGAAAAACAACAAAGTCAAAAGCTGTTCTGGAGAGATTCTTAGTTAAGGAGATAAACTCTTCACAAAACTGATCAGAGGAAAAATACCTAACTATTATAAGGAATGAAAGAGCGGACATTACTATACATCCTATAGACATAAAAAACAATGTTATTAACAACTTTAGGCCACAGGTCTGACAATTAAATAAAATGGATAAGCTTTTTTAAAAAATACAGTATCTGAAAAAAACCTATCACAAGAATAAATGGAAAATGTGAATAGTTTTCTATTAAATAAATTGAATTTTCCTCCCCCCAAAAACAAAACAAAACAAAACTCCAGTCCCAGAGAGCTTTACTGGTAAACTTTGACAAACATTTATTGAAAATCTAAATATTTTAGAAAATGGAAAAATAAAGAACCTTTCTCTAATTCATTTTATCAAGCCTCATACCAAACCCTAATAAGGGAATCACATTTGCCTTTAAGACCCATGCCTAAGGGTCCTTCACAAGCTGCCTCTCTGTCTTCTGGGCTTAACCCTGTGGGTCACTTGGCCAAGGGACAAGAGAAAGGTGGGGGCTAGAGAGGCCTGGATGGGAAGGTACAACCCTTGAAACAAATAGTCCTCCCTCAGAAGCCCAGCTGGGGTCATGGGGAGGATGAGGAGGGCAAATATCTGTATTTACTGGACCTGCGTGCAGTCGGCAAAGTCCCATGAAAAGGACCAAGAGGAGGAACACAGTACACTGCCCAGATCCTGTCCTGAGTAAGACTGAGTAGGGACTGATGCATCTAGGGCCCCAGGTGGTACATCAGAGGGGGTGGCATGGGGCAGGAAGCACTGGGGCAGGAGTAGTGGAAGAGCTCCAGAGAAGAGACAATGGGAAGAGCTCGCAGAGTCAGGCGGGGATGGGGACAGCTGAGATGAGTTTGGATGACTATTACGGGCCCTGCAGGTGCAGAATTGCGGCCCCAGCGGGTAAAGGAAAGGGAAGAAAAAAGCAAACAGACTGGCAAGCAAATTGATCCACACTCAATTTATTGTTTCTTTCAGCTGTGACCAGGGAAGGACAGATCGAATTTTCATTTCTCAGTGAGACTCTTGATGTTATCCATCGCCTTCTGAAGGAATCATTAGTTACTGTGGAGGAGAACAAAGACACATGCTCAAGGTACTGATAGCAAACTCCTACCACTGTACAAGCAGGTGGGGTGCTGCAAAGTGGAAAATTCATGTGGCTGGGAAAAAAGAATTCTTGAAAGGATGTTTACAATTTTGCTTGTGAAATTATTTGACCACGAGCCACTTATTTACTTTATACTTTGATTTCTAGGGAACCATCATATTTAATCAGAAGTACTTGCAAACGAGAAAATGTAACATTTTTTAAATTTTGATGAAATGTTTATAAATGTAACAAGTTACTGTCTTTACATTTTTAGAAATTTAAGTTCACATTCATTTTCCTTTTTTAATACCTTGCAGCCAATTTGTGTGTGTGTGTGTGTGTGTGTGTGTGTGTGTGTGTTGTAAACAGTATTTTAGCCTTTTGTTCTTTGAAAACTCATAGACCCGAAGCAATGTAGTATATGCTGCCAAATGGATAAAATGGTCCTGATTACAGATTTGTTTTATAAACAAATTTACAGATCTTACATCTTGTTAGGTACAATTCTTTAACTCCATTCTATCAACAAGAGCAAGTTCTCAATAAACTTAAGAGTACTTTACTAAACTGAAAAAAAAAGACTAAGTTATTTAAATACTCATTAGTAACAAGATTAGTAAAGATTGGTCATTTAAATGTAGGTCAGTTAGGCTAGACATGATGGCTCACGCTTATAAACCCAGCACTTTGGGAGGCTGAGGAGGGCAAATTGCCTAAGGTCAGGAGTTCAAGACCAACCTGGCCAACCTGGTGAAACTATGTCTCTACTAAAACTACAAAAATTAGGCGGTCACGATGGTACAAGCCTGTAATCCCAGCTACTCAGAATGCTGAGGCAGGAGAATCACTTGAACCTAGGAGGAGGAGATTGCAGTGACCTGAGATCACACCATTGTACCCCAACCTGGTTGAAAGATTGAGACTCTGTCTCAGAAAAAAAAAAAAAGAATAAAATAAAGACAGGTTGTTTATTGGTGCAGTACTTTACCAATTCATCTACCCAATCCATACTTAGAAATTAATTGTGGATTATGAATTTTACTTTAATTTCATACATGTATTCATTTTAAGAAACATCTAATATACTTACCTACTGGTTTGTGTTTGGGTATCTTCCTGTGATTTGGATCTAAGTAAATAAGGAAATAACATTTTTAGGTTCACATAATACGACCTGTCAAAGTTATGTTGTATGTATTTGTTATGGCGATTTCTCCCTCTTTCCCTTCAAAGTGGTACTAAAAAAGAAATATTGGCCAAATGTGTATTTTTATACTAATTACTACCAAAATTCAAAATTCTTGAACCTCTTTTCCTTTTTTTTTTTTTTAGAGACAGAGTCTCACTTTGTCACCCAGGTTAGAGCACAGGAATATGATCATGGCTCACTTCAGCCTCAACCTCCTTGGGACTCAAATAGCCTCCTGCCTCAGCCTCCCAAATATCTAAGGCTACAGCCCCAGCCAATTTTTTCTGTTTCTTTGTAGAAATGGGATTTCACTTTGTTGCCCAGACTGGTCTTTAACTCCTGACCTCAAGCAGTCCTCCCACTTTGGCTTCCCAAAATGCTGGGATTACAACATTTTGTAATTTGAACTACCACACCTAGTCTTTTCCATTTTTATGTCCAGAGATTCCTTATTTCTAATCCCCCAACTAAAAGAATGGGAGAGAAAAAGAATGAACTGAAGACAAATTAATCGAGATTAATTTATAGAGAAGATATATAATGAGATGAGTGAGAATATTCAGTGATAATGCGTAATTTTACTTCTCCTATCCTTTCCCTACCTTTGCTATTTTGTATCTTCAAAACTTACTGTTGATTTTTCCTGCTACTCTGACCAGGGGATATTCTTATTTAATATAATTAGTTACTTCCCAAACCAATAAAAAGATTTGTATTTATAGGTGTATGAGTCTACTGACATGTACACCCATTAGATTTCTGGATGTAAAAAAAAATTATTGTTTCACTGTGTTTACCCAAGGAATTGGCTCTACCAACATCTTCCACTGCCTTCCCAACAACAATACAAATACTAAAAATATAAATGTAAAAAGAAAATGCAGTAAGTCCTATAACAGTAAAGGACAGCAACTATGTGTGCTTAGCCTACTAAGTTTAAATGAAAGAATAACCACAGAATACCTTTCTAGTTATGCTAAACACAAAGTTAGAATAATGGATTAACATTCCAAATTATACTCCCCAAATTCAGTGTATATTATCCTATGGATGCTGCCCTTATCTATCCCTCAATCTAGCTGAATTTATTACTTCTTAAAGAGAATGACAATGATACGACTATGGCATATTTTATGAGGAGAGATAATGTAAGGGAACAATTAGAGTGCTTACACCACTAAGAGTTATACGTGCATATGTGAACTTCAAGAGTAACCACTCATTCATTAAGCAAGTATTTATTGAGCATTAACTCTGCAAGAGACTACATGCAAATAGGTAAGGAAATAAGCATGGACATGACCCTCAAGTGATTTCAGAGGCTGAAAGGAGATTAATGCTTCTAGGTGAGCAGAAGATTGGGAGAATTGCAGTGTTTGAGCACTCTATCACAACTCCCTTGGTGACAGTGACAGAGTGGAGAAAACAAAGAAAATCAGCCTTTTTCTCAAACATAGCTTAGAGAAAGTAACTGATGTCTGTAAAAGGGTGCTTATGTTAGGAGACATCTGAGAACAACAGAAAGGATAAAGGAGAAAGAAATACTGTAGCTTTCCTAATGGATGGGGTGCCTTTGTCAGGGAAAACAGAAACTATATAATGCTGTGGTATAGCCTAGAAAATTTCACCTGTGGGTATAAGGGATATTTTGGAATAGCAGTGGGTTTAATGTAACTCAAAAAGGTCACTTTAGGAAAAAGTACTAGACAATACAAGAATATAAAAACTGTAAAATGAAGAAAACATGATGAACATATCAGTAAATATTTGATAACTTCAGAAGGATTGCAAAGCCACAACTGTGGGATGTAGGAAACCAAAAGCTTAAAATGAATTCAGAGAACCCTTGTTAACACAGGTGTGGAGCATTGAGGGTCTGTGGGAAATGTAGAATTTCAGTATGTTCATAATACTGTCTCCTAAATTCTTCCTAAGTGGAAATAATCATTGACTCAGTTATTCACATTGAGTTTTTGTGGGTGTAAATGCAACCTGAAAAAATAACATTTCTCCTTTGTGTATCCCAAAATAAACAATGCAAAATGTTCAGCTTATGATTTAGTTTCACAAAGTAATTATAAATATTTGTATCTTATTAAATTTCACTAGCTTATTTCTTATTTAACACAAGAGTAGACAATCAACAAAAATGTAGTCAATTTAAGAAAAAAATTAATTGAATTAAAACTTGTTCAAGAATGGGAAATATTATCAATTGTGGCTTCTCAAAAAATATCGAGCAATTATTTATGAATTACCAAATTTTTCATTCTGAATTTTCAACATATTTATAAGTAACACTTTCTATCTTGATTACCTGCTAGTATATGCTTGGGCACTATCTTCTGATTTGGATCTAAAAATAAATTAAAAACAATAACAAAAAGTTAATACTAAAAGCTTGCCGTTTTACACCACCAAAACTAATTATTGAAATACTTGGGGCCTGCAAATAAGTAGCATTCTTTTTTACTCAAACACCAAATGCAACTATAGTACAAAATGTATATTCTCTACGAGAGAATAGTATCAAGATAGCAGAAGTTTTTCAAATTACTTCTAAGTTAATGTAAATTTAACTGCAAATTCCTAAATCTGTCCTTCAGCCTCCAAATTCGTTTTGTATTTGTTGATATATAAATTGCAGCAGTTTGTAAATTAAAACTTACATTTACTTCTGACAAATTTGGCAGACTGGACTAACAGGAAAACTTATCCTTTCTATTAGATACACAGAAAAAAAAGCTGAAGATGACAAAAAAATGTGTACATAACTAAGATTGACAGTCACAATGTGTTTTCCTTCTGTCATTAAAAAAAAAGAAAACAATTAGAAGCTCAGAGGGAAACCAAGAGCTAAAGCTGAATTACTTATACCCTAAAAGATGTGGTTTTCATAACCCTAACTTGGAAGGATTTGAGGGCATGGATCTTTACGTGCTAGAAAGCTGGAATGCAGCTGTTTCCCAAGCCCGATAGTCTTTAATGGAAATAATAAAAGCTGTGACCATTGCACTTCAGAACACAACTAGCAAATTTTCTCAGCCACTTGGAAAGAAAAGGATCATCTAGAGATGCAAGAATCACAGGCCTGCACCAGACCTCAACTGCTGAATTCTACCACCCACAAATCTGAGAGCAAGCATGAAAAACACTGCCACATTCATGCCCCAGGAGAAGCAAACCTGAAATACTCTCCGCTCAATGCATGCCTCTACAACTCAGGGCATGCAGAATTCCCATGAGAACATTCACTGCCCTTGAGGATGAGCTTATAAATCTAAAATAGCAAACCAAAAATTCACACATCAACATGAACAGATAATATAAAAATCTTCAAAATGGAAATATTTAGGATCTCCACACAGATCAAGGCAGGAATGAGGCAAAAATAAATAAATAAATAAATAGCTATTAAGAAAATGGAGGATTTGGAAACTGATATAAGGAAGTGAAACAATGTGAAAGGCGTAATAATACATGAAGAGCCCAGTTAAAAAACAGGGAGGCTAGGCGGGGCACAGTAGCTCATGCCTGTAATCCCAGCACTTTGGGAGGCCGAGGCAGTTGGATCACAGAGTCAGGAGTTTAAGACCAGCCTGGCCAAGATAGTGAAACCCTGTCTCTACTAAAAATACAAAAAGTAGCTAGGCATGATGGCAGGTGCCTGTAATCCCAACTACTTGGGAAGCTGAAGCAGAGAATTGCTTGAACCGAGGAGACAGAGATTGCAGTGAGCCGACATTGGGCCACTGCATGCCAGCCTGTGTGACAGAGTTAGACTCCATCTCAAAAAAAAAAAAGAAAGAAACTTGCAGGCTAAAATGAGAAGACTCTCCTAAATATAGTCATTTCCAATGGAGAAAAGAGAAAGAATAAGAGTGAATAATTGAAGACATAATGACTGATTTAATTTTTTAGAATTAACAACCTGAGTTCTGATATCTAAAGACTATATTGAATCCAGAGCTGTCTAAATAAAAACAAATTATATCAGAATATATAATCATAAAATAACAAAACATTCAAGATAAAAAGGAAATCTTAGAAGACACCTAGGGAAAAAAAACACATTAATGGCAGGAGGAATAAATAATGCGACTGACAACCAAGTTCTCATCACTGACAGTACATGGCACATTACAACAACAGAATATCACAAGACACTTTCAGAAAAGTCCTCAGCTAGGAGTCTGTAACCAGCTAAGCTATCATTCAAAATTGAGTGTGGAATAAAAAAAGGATGGTTCAGGCATTTAACACAAAATGTTGATAATACATAACCACTAAACTGAAACTGAAAGTGTACTGGAGAAAAAAGGAAACTAAATCCCTAATGAAAAATCAGTGGATTCAACAACAAATAGAGCAAAGCAACTGGTAAATATGTTTTAAGATTCTAGCAGGTATTAATTTAATATAAAAGCCATTATAATCATAATAATAATAGTGGAAGGTAGGATTCTCTAGGTAAAAACCTGGAAGAAGCTAAAAGCCAAATGACAATAATATGCGAGAGTAATGTTTAGAGTTTGCTGATAAATTGCCAAAGATTCTTTTGTTGCTTAGGAAAAGACTAGAAATAGTTAAAGAATTTAGACATTTTAAATAAGTACACTAAAGTGCTACTAATGTGACCCATACTGGTGTTGGGGACAGGAGGCAGAGAAATTCTAGTCAGAAAAGGGCGGGTCCCTGGCGAAAGCTCCACCCTCAAGCTGAAAGCCTGAAACCACAGCCCGAAGAGAGAACCTCTCCTCTGTTTTCCCACTCAAATATTGCCTTTTCCTAAACCACCCATGGCCCCACCCTGCCCCGTCCTGCGCCTATAAAGACCCCAGACGCGGTCAGCAGAGAGGAGAGGCAGCTGGACGTCAAGGACTATGAATGGATGTTGGAGAGAAGTCGTTTGACTTCAGAGGGACAGCTTGATGACATAACTTCAGGGAAGAGTCCAGCCGGAGGTGGTCGGACTTGAGGGGAAGATTCCTGCCCATTCCTTTCTCAGCTCCCCTTCTCACTAAGAGCCGCTTTCATCATTCAATAAAATCCCCTACATTTACCACTCTTCAGTTCATTCATGTGACCTCATTTTTCCTGGATGCCAAACAAGAGTTTGGGAGCCAAGAGTGTGGATACAAAAGGCTGTCACACTGTCCCTTTGTCCTAACTGGTGGAGAGCAGCCACCTCACTGGAAAAGGCAGAGGGCCTACTGAGCTGTTAACACTTAAGCCATCCAAGCTAAAAGAGCACTGTAACATGCCCTCTGGGGTTTTGGAAGTCACAGGCACCCTCCCTGGATGCTGCTGCAGGGCCTGCACAGATTTCCCTCCTGCCGGCACCCAAAAGTGCTCACTGTCACTCCTGCACCTGCTTGCCTGCATGCTCCCTCCCAAGTGGTGGAACACACTGGGTCCCAGTGAGTGGAGTTTGATCCCGCGGGGCCAGGGCTAAAATGCCCGGCTGGTTCCAGCGCCCCTGCACTCCGGTTCCCACCTCATTCACCCGTGAGCTCCCTCCCACAAGGAATTGAGAGCAGGTGGCTGAGTAAACAAAGCACCCCTGTCATGAGTCCCCTGAAGGGCTCAGGGAAATATCCTGCTTCGCTGGAATTCATTCCACCTCTCTACTTTCTTTGGCTTCAACAACCTTTTTACTGACCTCCCACCAGTTAAAGATTATTCCAAAGATAAATGACATGAAAACTACGGTGGATGTTATGTCACTAAAGCACAGCCACCATGTCAAGTGATGTCATTAAAATTCAAATGAATAAGTATTCTAAAATGATTCCCTGGTGCATGCTAAGGCTAGTCCAGTGGTTTAATATTCCAAATTAAATGATTTCTATTGAAATGTACATTTTCCTATGGGTGATGCTATCACCCCTCACTGAATGTAGGTAAATAACAACGCTGGGAGAGATGTATTATGTTAACAGGGTTTCAGGATGAGAGCTGATAGACTGAGGGAAGAAGAAATGGAGGAAGCTACAATGTCATCAAGGATATATGGATGAGTATGTGTGTGCATACATGCATGTGCACATGTGTCTATGTGTTTGTCTATTTACCTTTGTGTTTGTGTTTTTGTTTTGTTGCCTCTGTATGTGTGAAAATAAAAGGTAATTATTCATTCATTCCTTCAACAAATATTTATTGATCACTTCCCATACAAACCAAGCATTCTTCTACATGCTAGCTCTACAATCCTAAGCAAGATAGACGTGGCCTTTATTATCTGAGCTGAAAATATAATAAGAGAAAAAGGTCACTGAAGCTTGGAGGGCCCGAGCCCTATATGGTAACTCCCTTGGTCATAACAATAAGAAAGGGCATGATAATAAAAATCAACATTTTAAAGACAAACTCATGACTCCAAAGTGTCATTGTAAGGAAAAAATAATAATGAGAAAGATTAAAATGAGAAAAGCAGGCATTCTTATTGAAGAGGTAAATTTCTTCTGGAACAAAAGAAATCATACAATCTTGTTGTGCAGCTTAGAGAGTTTGCCCTGTGAATTTGGATGTGTTTGGGAACAGTAGTGGGGTTGGAAGAACCTAGAAAGAATAACATCAGCCCCCTATAAATGTATATAAAAACAGTAACTCAGAGAGGGAGCAGTAAAAATTTCAAAGCATTTTATATCTGCAGAAGAACCTAAAACCCACAATTGCTGGGTGTGGGGAACTAAATACTTACTGGATTATTATTTTTAAAAATCCACCTTTCAGGAAATGGAGAGGGACCTAGTAATACTGAGAGGCTATGAAAGATTTGGAATTTTTCTTCCTTTGTGGTGCTTTTTTTTCTAACAAATTCTTCTCAAGCTACCCATGCTTGCATTCACTCAGTTATTCATCAGCATACATACTAGTTTCTGGTTGTACCATCTCCAAATAAAAAAGTAAACTTCCAAGATAAAGAATACAAAAGAATCCTTTTTATGAATTAGCTCCTTAAATATTTCACCAAAAATGTTTTCCTTTGTTTCCCAGAAATAAACTCCCAACACATATTAACTAAACTGCAGGAAAGAAGAGATTGACTTATAAATACTTGCTAGTTACTAGATCAGCAAATAGGTTGTTTTAAGGTATAGTACCTTACTAATTGTGTCTATTCAGTTAATAGTTAGCAAGTAATTGTTAAATATCAATTTGTTCATCTCAATTTTTAACATATATTTATTGTAAAAAAATGCCTCCTAATTTACTTACTTGCTAGTATCAGCTTGACTGGTGCTTTCTGATCTGGTTCTAAAAGAAAGCAAAAAAAATAATGTTTCCACATTAATACTCAACAATAATGTGCCTCCATAATGAATGAAGGTTAGGTCATTTTATAACCTGTGTTAATTCTTCTATACCAAGAATTACCACTGATGAGTAACGTCAAAAGACTGCTAAATTAGCATATGTAAACAAAGTGAAGTTTTTATTTATTCATATACAATGTTCATAAAACGCTTAAATGTCAAATCTTCAGCTAAGCAGAGGAACAAGAAAACAGATCTTTTTCCTTTTCGCTTTCTAGCACAGAATATATACTTTATTTTAAATGCCTGATTCTGGCCTTCAGAGTCTATCCATTGTTAAATAAATTGCTGCAGGTTGTGATTCAAATCCACACTAATGACAGGAAGACTGAGCTGATGGGGAGGTGTGGTCATTTCCCCCTTATCCCACACATAGAGAAATAGTGCAAGACAACACTATTATTTACTAAAATTTTTCAAAAGAAAGGGTCATTTCTAGTGATAGTTAAAAGGAGACAGAGAGTTGGAAATGCAAAAGGTAAATACAAACTAAATCTGAATGACTTTGGGGGTTCATAAGTCAGTTGCATAGCTACATCGACTTATCAAGCGTTGAGACCTTCTGGAAAGTTAGAGCTGACCTCGTTCTCTAAACCTGGAAGCCCTGAAAGGCCATAACCACCCATGAAATGGGGATAGTTAAAGCTGTAGCCACCAGACATAGAGATGCATCAGGGAAATTGCCTCAGAAGAAGAGATGAAAAAGGAACACCAGGAGGCACAGGAACCCTGAGCACTTAAATTGGCTTAGGAATTTGGATGGAAAAATCATCACACAGAGAAACAGGAGCATTAATTCTTTACATGTATAGGATAAGGACACCAATTCATGCTTCCTATGCATTCCAGTGTAACAGTTATTACAAAAATGTATCACACAGGAGGGTAAAACATGACCTCCACAAGGAGGCTTCTGCAAAGCACAGTAGGTTTGTTCATACCAGCATCACCACAAACAAGTGAGTAATGCATTGCTCTCTGATGTTGTGATGGCTACGACATCACTAAGCTATAGGAACCTTTCAGCTTCAATATAAACTATGGAACCACCATCATACGTGTGGTTTCTTGTTTACCAAAACATTGTTATGAAGCACATGTCTGTATAAGACAAGCTGGGTAATTTCTAGGCACTATTCATTCTTTTCCTTTACTAATTATGCATGTCTTATCTCATTTTAGAATGAGCTATTTTATTCCTTGTTTCCTCAGAAAAGACTTCCAGTAAACATTTATTAAATGAAGAAAGGACAAATGTATTAGAAACCAAATTAAAATCCAGATTAGCAGTCTGGATTTTAGTGCATTGCTTTACCAATTGACACTGTTCAAAAATATTTAGAAATAAATTGCGAATTATCAATAAATTCTCAATTTTCAACATGTATCTTAAAAACACCTTCTAAACTACTTACTGGCTGGCATATGTCTGAGTGCTGCCTTCTGAGTTGGATCTAAAAAAGAATTGAAAATCATGTCTCAAGTTAGTACTAAGAAAACTTGCAAACTTCATGAATGATAATGAGGCCATTTAATAATTAGTATTAGCTCTTTAAAATACTCATTACTGACCTGGTGCAGTGGTTCACACCTGTAATCCCAGCACTTTGGGAGGCTGAGGCAGGTGGATCACAACGTCAGGAGTTCGAGATCAGCCTGGCCAACATGGTGAAACCCTGTCTCTACCAAAAATACAAAAATTAGCTGAGTGTGGTAGTGCATGCCTGTAGTCCCAGCTACTCAGTAGGCTGAGTCAGGAGAATGGCTTGAACCCAGAAGGCAGAGGTTGTAGTGAGTGGAGGTGCCGAAATCACGCCACTGCACTCCAGCCTGAGTGAGAGTGAGACTCTGCCTCAAAAAAAAAAGACTAATTACTAATAAATAAAATGATGTCCAAAGTCACTGAACATAGATACAAATAAATAACATTTTTATTTACCATACGCTTCATCCATAAAAAGTGCTCTTTTCAAATTCTGCAATGAGGAGAGTATCCAAAAAACACAGATTTGCTTTTTCTGAACATAGAATATAAATTTGTTCAGAAAAAAAAGACAGATTAGCTATATCTAAACATAGAAGACAGATTTGATTTTGAATGTCTGATTCTGACCTTCACACCCCAACTTTTTGTTTTCTGTTCATTGTTAAAGAAAAGACATCATTTTGTAAATTAAAAGCTAGACTGCTCCCTAGGTAAGCTAGCAGAGTGAGCTGGTAAAACAATTTTTCCTTTCCATTCCTCACATAGAGGAGTGCCAAATAAAAAACACACACATGCACAAACATTTGATACACAATTGAGGCTCACAGCAAGGAAAGACCTCTGTTGCCAGTCAAAGTGATGAAACAGAGCTCCTGGGTAAACAGGAGCTAAGGCTGAATTACTTCAGAAGTATCTAAACCTACAGTGCTACCAGTCATGTGAAAGTACATCACACATGATTATGTACAGTACATAATATATGATAATGATAATAAATACTTGTCTTGGTTTATGTGTTTACTATTTGTTTGTTTGTTTGTTTTTTGAGACAGAGTCTCACTCCGTTGCCCAGGGTGGAGTGCAGTGGCTCAAACTCGGCTCACTACAACCTCTGCCACCCAGGCTTAAGCAATTCTCCTGCCTCAGCTTCCTGAGTAGCTGGGATTACAGGCATGTGCCACCATGCCCGGCTAATTTTTTTTTTTTTTTAGTAGAGACAAGGTTTCACCATATGGCCAGGCTAGTTTTGAACTCCTGACCTCAGGTGATCTGCCCACCTCGGCCTCTCAACGTGCTGGGATTACAAGAGTGAGACACTGCCCCTATACTGTCCTTTTTATTATTAATTTATAGTGTACTCCCTTGCTTATTTAAAAAGAAAAGTTAACTGTAAAACAACCTCTAGCAGGTCCTTCAAGATGTATCCAGAAGGCAGGATTGTCATCCTAACCAATGACAGTTCCAGATATGTCATTGCTCCTGACGACCTCCCAAAAGGACAAGATATGGAGATGGAAGACAGTGATATTGCTTATATTGACCCTGTCTAGGCCAACGCTAATGTGTTTGTGTCTTAGTTTTTAACAAAAAAGTTTAAAAAGAAAAAAATTTATACAAAAAAAGCCAATAAAGGTATAAAGAAAGAAATTTGTACAATGTGTGTTTTGAGCTAAGTGTTATTACAAGAGTCAAAAAGTTTTATACAATTGAAAGTTTATAAATTTGAAAAGTTATAGTAAAAGATAAGGTTAATTATTGAAGAAATAAATTTTTAAATAAATTTAGTGTAGCCTAAGTCTACCATGTCTATACAGTTTATAGTAGGACTCAGTAACGTCCTAGGCCTGCGCATTCACTCACCACTCACTCACTCACTCACTCACCCTCTCACCTGGAGCAACTTCCATTCCTGCAAGCTCCATTCATTATAAATGCCCTATATAGGCATACCATTTTTAATATTTCATATTATATCTTTACAGTACCTTTTCTATGTTTTGATACATAAATACTTATTCAGTTACAGTTACCTACAGTATTTTGTACTGTAACATGCTGTCAGGCTTACATACATAAAGTTATAGGATATAACCTAGGTGTGTAGTAGGCTATATGGTCTAGGTTTGTGTAAGTACACTCTGTGATGTTCACATAACACAATCATCTAACAGTGCAGTTCTCACAGCATATCCTTGTATTAAGGGACTCATGACTGAATTAGTGTACTGCTTGGATAAACAAACAAATGCATGGAATTTTATAGATTGTGACAGAAGCCATGAATCTAGATATATAAATTTCTGTAATAATTATGGGATGGTGAGAGCTAATTACATTGACCTAATTGTTCTGTTCTTTTAATCATCAATAAATAGCATTTTGTCCCTATTCATCCTACTTATGTTTCTCATATTTCTTTTTCTTCCTTCCTTTCTTTCTTTTTTTTTTTTTTCTGGAGCTCACTGGTGATCATGGCTCACTGCAGTCATGAACTCCTGAGCTCCAGCAGTCCTCCCACTTCAGCCTCCCAAGTAGCTGGAACTACAGGCTCATGCCCCCATGCCTGGCTAATGTCTTAATTTTTAATTTTTCAGGCATTCCTCATACCTCAGCCTCTCAAAGTGCTGGGATTACAGGCATGAGCCACCACACACAGCCCCTATTCATGCTTTTTAACCATAACTTTAGTTCTCACTATTTTATAAATCTGTGAACTGGACTTAATATTCTCTGTCAGTGTCAAGACACTTAACTACCCATCTTCAATTTTGTAAAAGTCCAAGGCCTCAATCTCTTGACCTCGTGATCCACCCGCCTCGGCCTCCCAAAGTGCTGGGATTACAGGTGTAAGCTACCGCGCCCGGTCTCCTGGTTAACATGGTGAAACCCTGTCTCTACTAAAAATACAAAAAATTAGCTGGGCACGGTGGTGCATGCCTGTAATCCCAGCTACTCAGGAGGCTGAGGCAGGAGAATTGCCTGAACCCAGGAGGCGGAGGTTGCGGTGAGCAGAGAACGCGCCATTGCACTCCAGCCTGGGTAACAAGAGAGAAACTCCGTCTCAAAAAAAAAAAAAAAAAAAAAAAGTCCAAGGCCTTATTTCTTCAAATATTGACTCTTCCCAACTCTAAATGTTCTGTCTCTGAATTCCTTTGTTTCTTAACTGGTCTTTTATATGTTACTATTCTGTTTATCTTGTATTCTGAGTGATTTCTCTAAACAATTTAAAAATAAGCAAGTCTGTTTCAGCTCCTTTATTTCTTGTTTAATGGATTCTATTTTTTTAATCTCCGTGCAAATCCTGGGCATTTTTTTGAAGTTGTTCTGTATTTCTTTAGATTGCTTTGGCTGTTGGCATTACCACCTCTTGTGGCTTTTTTTTTTTTTTTTTTTGGTAAGGTTAAGTAGCATTGATTGTATCATGAGAATTCTGTGTATTTTGCTTTGCACAATAGGTATGTGCTTACACCAACATCATCACAAACAAGTAATGCATCATCTCTGATGTGTTGATTACAACATCATTAGGCTACAGGAATTTTTCAGCTTCAGTATAATCTTATGGAACTGTCATCATACATGTGGTTTGTCATTTACCGAAACATTGTTATGCAGCACATGGCTCTGTAACACAAGCTGGGTAACTTCTAAGCACTATATATTCTTTTTCCTACACATGTCCTATCTCATTTTAGAATCAGCTATTTTTTTCCTTGTTTCCTTAGAAGAGACTTCCAGTAAACATTTATTAAATGAAGAAAGGACTAATTTATTAGAAACTAAATTAGACTGTATGTTAGCAGTCTGGATTTCAGTGCATTGCTTTACCAAGTGATGTTGTTCAAAAAATATTTAGAAATAAATTGTGAATTATTAATAAGTTTTTGATTTTCAAAATGTATCTTAAAAACAGCTTCTAACCTACTTACTGGCTGTCATATGTCTGCGTGCTGCCTTCTGATTTAGATCTAAAAAAAATTAAAAATGTCTCATATTAGTACTAAGAAAACTTGCCAACTTCATGAATGAAAATAATCCCATTTTATAATCAGTATTATCTCTTTTATAAGACTAATTATTAATAAATAAAATACTGTCCAAAGGTCAATGAACAGAGATGCAAATAAATAACAGTTTATTTACCCATATACCTCATCCATAAGAAGGAAACATTTCAAATCCTGCAGTGAGGACAGTATCAAAACACTTAGATTTGCTTTTTCTGATCCCTTCTAAACAAAGAATATAGATTTGACCTTGAATGTCTGATTCTGACCTTCATAATCCAACTTTTGGTTTTATATTCATTATTAAGGAAAAGACTACCCCTGAGGCCAGAGATTGAATAGCACTGCCTTAGAAGGAGCTGATGCCCCAGGACTTTGGATACAGAGATACTGTAGGTGAACTCTTTAACTAGAACAAAAGCCAGAAGGGGCCATCTCACCCATGAAACAGGAATAATAAAATTTCTGACCAGGGCCATTTGGAATGCAAGAGGGAAATATGCATAAATAGAGAGAAAATGAATCAAGAAGAGAAGCAGGACTCCCAAGCATCCAAAAAGTGCAGTTTCAGGACCCCAGTTCACAGTCCCACAAATGCGAACACTATGCATGGCAAAATTTTAAAAATATTTTTTCTTTAAGAAAGGAAAAATTAAACAACCGGTACGGTTAGGCTTCATGTCCTCATCCAAATCTCATCTTAAATTGTAATTCCCATAATCGCCATGCATCAAGACCAGGTGGAAATAATTGATTCATGGGTGTGGTTCCCTGATGATGTTCTTGTAATAGTGAGTTCTCATGAGATCTGACAGTTTTATAAGAGATTCTTCCCACTCTGCTTCGCACTTCTCCCTCCTGCTGTCTTATGCAGAAGGTGCCTTGTTTTCCCTCTGCCTTCTGCCATGATTGTAAGTTTCCTGAGGCCTTACCAGCCATGCTAAATTGTGAGTCAATTAAGCCTCTTTCCTTTATAAATTACCCAGTCTTGGGCAGTTCATTGGAAGGTTGCCAGCAGTCTGGAAACACTTTGGCCTCTCCAGTGCAGCAGGGGTTTAACCTTAAGGGGACAGAGAACAAAGACAGGCCTGGTCCCAAGCCCCCAGCGATAGAGCACATAGCCCAGGAATGCCAATTTGAGCCTTGGCCCACTGAAAGCATCCAGAAATGAAGCCAATTGCCTAAACATAACTTATACCACTGTAGAACCCTTAAAGCATCAGAAAACTCCACACAAAAGACAATAATTTTAAAGATTAAGAGAACATCAGCCCACACAAATGAGAAAGAACCAATGCAAAAACTCTGACAACTCAAAAAGACACATTGTCTTCTTACCACCAAACAACCACAGTAGATCTCCAGCTATTCTTCTTAACCAGACTGGAATGTCTATACTGACAGACATATAATGCTAAATCTGGATGGCAAGGAAGCTCATCAACATACAGAAGGTGGAAACTCAATCCAAGGAGCACAGCAAAATGGTCCAAGAGTTAAAAGGTGACACAGCCATTTTAAGAGAAAAATAAACTGAACTTCTGGAAACGAAAAATTCACTGCAAGAATTTTATAAAGCAATTGAAAGCACTAATAACAGAATAGACCATACTGAGGAAAGAATCTCAGAGCTAGATGACCATTTCTTTGAAACAACACAGGCAGGCCAATAAAAAGAAAAATTAATTTTTAAATGAACAAAATATCAGAGCAATGTGTGATTACGTAGAGACCAAACCTGTGACTCATTGGCATTCCTGAAAGAGACGGAGAGAAAGCAAGTAAACTGGAAAACATATTGGAGGATATTTCCACAAAAATTTTTCCAGTCTCACTAGAGATGTTGACATGCAAATTCAGGATATTCAGGGAACCCCTGTGAGCTACCACACAAGATGAAAACATCCCCAAGACACAGAGTCATCAGATTCTCCAAAGGCAATATGAAAGAATAAATTTTAAAGGCAGCTTGGGAGAAGGGGCAGGTCACCTACAAAGGGAACCCCAACAGGCTAACAGCAGTATTTTCAGCACAAACCTTCGAACTTGGAAGGGATTGGGGACCTATATTCAGCATCCTTAAAGAAAAGAAATTTCAGCCAAAAAATTTATACTCAGCTTCATAACCAAAGGAAAATTAAATATTTTTCAAACAAGCCAATGCTAAGGGAATTTGTTACCACCATAGCTTCCTTATAACAGGTCCTTAAGGGAGTGCTAAATGTGGAAAGGGAAGACTATTACCTGTCACCACAAAATCACACTTACATGCATAGCCCCTGATACTATAAAGCAAATATATAATCAAGTCTATGTAACAACCAGCTAACAACATGATGACAAGATCAAACCTGCACATAACAATATTAACCTTGAATGTAAATGGGATAAAACCCCCACTTAAAAGTCATAGAGTGGCAAAGTGTTTAAAGGAGCAAGATCCAACTACATGCTGTCTTCAAAAGATCCATCTCACCTGCAATGACACCCATAGGCTCAAAGTAAAAGAAAGGAGAAAGATTTATCAAAAAAACAAAGTACAAAAAAGAGCAGAGGTTGCTATTCTTATTTAAGATGAAACAACCTTTAAACCAAAAATAATAAAAAAGGACAAAGAAGTGCATTACATAATGATAAATGGTTCAGTTCAACAAGAAGACTTAATGATCCTAAATATATATGGGCCCAACACTGTAGCACCCAGATTCATAAAAAAAAGTTCCTAGAGGACCACACAAAATAGTGGGAGACTTCAACACCCCACTGAAAATCGTATGCAGATCATCGAAGCCAAAAATTAACAATGGTATTTGGGACCTAAATGTGATACCTGACCAAATAGACCTAACAGACATCTGCAAAATACTCTACCCAGCAACACCACAATATAAACTCTTTACATCCGCACATGGCACAGGCTCAAAGAATGACCACATGCTCAGTCATAAGGCACTTCTCAAAAAATTCTTAAAAACATAAATCATACCAATCACACTCTCAGAACACAGTACAATAAAAACAGAAATCAATAAAGAAATTTAAAAACCATACAATCACATGGAAATCAAACAACATACTCCTGAATGACCTTTTGTTTAAACAATGAAATTAAGGCAGAAATAAAAAATGCTTTGAAACTAATATAAACAAACATATAACAGAAGCTCTGGGACACAGCTAAAGTAGTGTTAAGAGGAAAGTTTATAGTGCTAAATGCATATATCAAAAAATTAGAAAATCTAAGGGTAACAGCCTAACATCTCATCTAGAAGACCTAGACAAACAAGAGCAAACCAACCCCAAAGCTAGCAGAGGAAAATAAATAGCAAAATCCAAACTGAACTGAATGAAATTGAGAGACAAAAATCCAGAGAAAGGTTAAAAAAACTGAAATTTTTTTAAAGAATAAATAAGATTGATAGACCACTAGCTAGATTTATTTTAAAAAGAGATGTCTAAATCAACACACTAAGAATTAACAAAAGTGACATTACCACTGACCCCCCAGAAATTTTTTAAAATCTTCAGAAACTATTACAAACACCTCTATATGCACAAACTAGAAAACCTAGAAGAAACAGATGAATATTTAGAAACATACAACCTACCATGATTGCACTATGAAGAAACTGAAATCTTATACATATCAGTTACAAGTGCTATGCATACTACCTGGGGTACAAAATCATTTATACACCAAACCCCAGTGACACACAATTTAACCATGTAAAAAACCTGCACATGTATCCCCTGAACCTAAATTAAAATTTGAAAAAAAAAAAAGTGGTAATCTGGGGATAGACAGGGGATGAAAGGGAAAGACCAAGGAGAGGAATTACATACAAAGGAAAATAAGAAATTTCTTGAGGGTTACGGATACCTTTATCATCTTGATCATGTCGATGGTTTTATGGGTGTTACTTTTCAAATGATCAAAACATCAAATTATACACTGAAAATATGTGCAAATTATTGCATATCAATAATATATCAATAAAACAATATATTTAAAAGAGAGAAAACTATTGATACACATAATAACATGAACAAATTTCAAATATATTAGCTATGGGATAGAAGCCAGACTGTAAAGACTGCATAATGTATTAATCCATTTATACAAAGTTCTGATAAGCAAAACTGTAGCCACAGGAGACAGATCCACCAGTCTTCAGAGCTGGAAAGGTGTGAGATGAAATATTTGGCATAACAGAACTGCTCTATATTTTATTGAGCTAGTGGTATGTGTGTACATTTGCTAAACTCATAATACTGCAGACACTAAAAAATAATGAATTTCATGATATGTAAATTATACCTCAATTTTCAAAAACCATATTCTAAATGCAAAAGGAAAAAAAATGAAAAGGAAGAAAAGAAGATGCAGAAAAAGGAGGAAATAGAGAACAACCACCACCACAACCAAGGAGGCTAAAATGGGGACACTAAAAGACAGCAAGTTCAGAGGGAGAAAAAGGCAGAATGGGGAAGTCAATCATTGCAGAGATAATGGCTGAAATTTTTCATAACTTACAGAAAAAATAAAGTTTAAGTATAAAGATAAAAATGAATTAATTAGGCTGATAGCAGATAGCCCATAAATAATACATCCCAAAATGTAAAAGCATATCCTTAAAGGGATAATGTTGTCCACCTAAAATTCCATACCCATATAACCTATAATTAAATACTGAACATAAAACAAAACAATTTCAGTAATAAACATCAAACAGATTATTACACTTAGAACATTACTGTAATATCTACTAGAAAATGTACTTCCACCAGAATGAAATGGAACCTATAGAAATTATATGCAAGCTGAATAAATAGAAGAAATTGATAAATTCCAAGAAAGATATAACATATCAAGACTGAATCATAAACAGAGCATCTCAGCCAAGCCTGTGGCTCACACCTGTTATCCCAGCACTTTGAAAAGCCAAGGTGGGCAGATCACT